TTACAACTTGATAACGCCTTAAGAACTTCCTCTTCAGTGAAAGGAACCTCAAGCTTGTCACTATCTAGCGTAGAAATAGTATTGAAACGCGGACCATCTAGTTTAGGTCTCCATCCCAAGGTTTCAGTGTAAAGCTGCTGATAAAAAGAAACAATTCCCCCACGCACCTCATCTTCTCTCCGCAACTCTATGCCATTCACGCGGATACGCCCAATGTGATTACATCTTCTATTACCGTTAGCAAAGCCTGTGAAAGAATTTTGTATTGAGGTCACCTTCTTTAAGCCACAATGCCCGAGATTTTTGACACCACGAAATCTCCTCCATAACAACAATCTCTGCAAAGATCGCCTGACAAGACGCTCTTCTAGAGCATAAAGACTCCACATCCTGCCCAGCTTGTTAACATGATCAAGTTCAGCAATATCAGCCAGAACTCTGTTCTTCTTCCATTCAAGATTCCCAAACACCTCTTTGTTCCACTTCTTAAGCTCGGATTTGAGAATCTGAAACTTCCTAGCTAAGACATAGCTAGCAGAGCCTGTGAAAGATGCTTCCCCCCACCAAGACTGGACTTTCCCTTGAAAATCCTCAGATCTCAACCACATATTTTCAAAGCGGAAAGGTGTGCGTCTAGATCTCATCCCTCCACAATCGAGAACTGGGGGCACATGGTCGGACGTTACCCGAACCAAAGCCGCCTGAGTAACATCCGGGAACTTCTCTTCCAATCCCCAGAAATCAAGAAACGATCCAACCTTGAAAAAGTGATTGGATCTCTGCCATTAGACCAGGTAAAGACTGCCCCTTCCAATGGCAGATCAATAAGAAAGTGGCCATCAATAAAATCAGAGAACTGGGTCATCTCCAAAGACCACCTACCCCCGGTGGATCTCTCAAACGGAGACCTAACAGAATTAAAGTCCCCACCTAAACACCAAGGCAACGACCACAATTCCTTAACATAGCTGAGCTCTTCCCAAAAGACTGGTCTATCACTATCAATAACAGGTCCATAAACTCCAGAAAAGACCCAGCTAAAATTATCATCCTCCATTTGAAACACACATGACAAAGAATAGTGCCCTTTCCAGATATTCGTTCTGGACAACCATCTTCGATCCCACGTAATGAGAATTCCGCCCGATGTGCCAGAGGCGTTCAAGGCTTCCCATTCCACAAACCTTTCTCCCCAAAGACTCCTAACCATCTCATCTGAAATAGCGGCCATCTTGGTTTCTTGCAACCATATAACATAAGCGTTCCACTGCCTCAAAGCAACCTTGACCACCCTTCTTTTATTCGGATCATTTAGACCACGGACGTTCCATGTAATAATACGTAACTTCATTAAGAACCAAAAATAATCATCTCCCCTCCTCCCCCCCCCCCCCCCCCCCCCCCCCCAATTTCCCGCTTCTGGTCCTTCCCCTTTCTTTAGTCACCCCATCCTTCCCCTCGTAGTTGACATAGGAAATAAGGTTCTTCACCTCCTGTTCCCTTTTCTGATGTGATACATGTTTTTTGTTTTTACCAACTTTTATGCTCTGATAGGTCTCTGTAATGTCATTTCCTGTGACAATGGCATGAAGAATGGATTGAGTTCGGTCATCATCACCCTCTGAAGAAACACCCAAAACTGCACTAACCATGCCAATATTATCACTCACCCAGTCCATACCCAAATCATTTGTCGTTCCTAAACAATCAGGGTGCACAACTGCCAAGGGTTCCATTATGTAAACATCAGAATGATCCATTTCCATCCAGGAATGAAAACCATGAGGACAAACCTGTTGAGAAGGAACCTGAACATCATACTCTTTCCCTTCACACTTTTCGCCGCTCCCAAACGTATTTAACTGCAAATCCATCTCTGTTCCAGAATCATTCGTGACAATCGTCATTAAGTCAAGAACATTATTCGCTTCAGTCTCGGATGGTAAACAATTCAGGCCTTTCAGAGCAACAAAAAGCTTAAGTTCATTGAGCAAAGACACAGCTAAATCGTCTGTCAGCTTGAAATAAAGGTCCTTTCCTACACATACGGTCACTCCATTGGAGCAGTCCCCACTTCTAAACATGTTCCTTGAAGACAGTGACCCTTCAGCCCGTGAAACAATGTCTCCAGAAAAGTCCCTCTAATGAACCGTACAATCCTCTACACCACTACCACCACTTCTTAACACCTCATATGAAGAAGGAGAAGAGAAAGAGCTCTGAGAATAAGCAACATAATTCAAACTTGGGAGATTAGAGGCAGGAGAGCGTGCTACCCACTTCTATTTCTCATTGTGGGTCCATCTAAAGCCCTGGTGACCGGCTGTTGCAGTCGCCGATCTCCACTTTGCTTTCTCCGTCAAAGACCAGTGAAGTGTACCTCGCTGTAAAGAAGAAGAAGAGGGTTGGGCTTGAACTTGAGCTTGGGCTTGTCCTTTGAAACCTGGCCCAATGATGAATTTGGGTTATTTAAAAAAGAAACAATCAAGGAATTGGGTCCTCTCTTAACCTATCGTTTGGTGTGGGCTGTCCGAGGCCTAGATCTATCTGAAGTCTTATTTGGCTTGGGCTTAATTAGTTCGTGTTTAGCAGGCCCATGATGTCTTGAGGCCTCGCCCTTAGCCTGGCCTACCACCTTCCGGCCCATATTAATCTTAGCCCGATCGGAGTTGCGGCCCATCCCAATCTCTTCACCAACCCTTGAAGATAAGGATAAGGAAGAATATGGATGGGAGCCTTTACGACCGCCACGTGCATCTCTCCGTTTATCAACTTCAACGCGCATGACCGGCGTGTGTCTGCCAGTTGTTCTTCCTCCCACAAACTTCACCGCCCTTTGTATTTCTCTATCCTTTAGCCATTGCTGGATCTACAACACTCCTTCTTTCCCTTTGCTAAGAAGCATGTTCCATTCTTCCTCCGACATAAGATGTGACCCATCGCTACCTTCAAGACTTTCCGTCGAGGGAACCAGCTCCGGCGATATTTCTTCCCAGATTGCAACCTTATAACAGAAGGTGTCATCATTAATAAACACAAACGGCGGACAAGCTGATCCAATTCTCATTGTGATTCGGACACTCTCGGCATCCCTCGTCTCGTCAACAACAGCGTTCACGAATCCACCACACAGCTCCCCCACTTCGACAAATAAGGCGTGACACCATAGATGAAGAGGAAGTCCAAACAACCGGATCTGTTTGAGGCCTTTATCTCTGAGAACACCACAACAACCGACTCTGAAGGACCACACATCGATCTGCAAGGTTGCAGATCCCCATTGTCGCCGGCCTTCCTTTAACACCTGTTGAGCCTCTGCCTGAGAAGGAAACCTGAACAGAAGAAGTGAATCGGATAAGGGAGTAACCCCCACCCCACAGGATGTATTCCATGCTCGCGCTGCCCATTCTTCAAATCCGATCACACCCCCTAACTTCCTTGTCGAAGCGACCAACCAAACAAGATGAGAGAACCGTTTTTCTCTCTCCGACAGAGTCCTCGTCGATGTACAGTGACTGCCCTCGATGAGGAATTGCCGACTTCACATTCCCTCTAAGTGTGATTCTTGGAATCTTTGCAATCTCTAAGAAAGATTTCATCAAAGTCGAAGAAACCACGATCGCCCTCAAAATCGCCCCAAGTAGGGTGAAATCGCCCCTAGTCCTTAATTATACATTAAACATTAAACCAGCTTTTATTGTATATTTGGGCCTATATTTTTCAAGAGAATTATGGGCCTAAAAGTTGTGTTTATTAAATATAAATTAGAAATTGAGTAACAATAAATAAATAAATAAATATTTATATATATATTATAATATACATTATTATTTTATTGCCGTATCCTTGCCATGTTCGTGTCCTGTTTTTTTGAAATTTGCTGTATCGCCGTATCCGTGTCGAATCGTACCCGTGTCTCGTGTCCGTGTTCGTGTTCGTGCTTTATAGAGAATATTTCATCAAATTAGTATGAATTTTTTTCATAATTTATTTTAACAAGAAAAATATATCAAGTGTAATTCAATAAGAAAGGGTATTATGGTCATTTAATGAAAAATAGGTAAGACAATGGGGCATTTTGCAACTAAATGTGATAGTTTAGGGGGTTTTATGCACAAAACATAGTTCAGGGGGGTTATTTGCAAATTTAGACATAGTTGTGGGGGTTTTTTTGCGCATTACCCTAATTATTATTTTAAAATTATAAAAATGCCCTTTTATAATAATATTATGTAATGTTAGTTGGATTGTTATCTCTCTAGAGATCGATGACCCATTTCTTGCCCCTAGTATTATTTTTGTAATTTAAAATAATAATTATAACTTTTAATTTAATATTAAATAGCAAGGTCAAATTTGACATTTCACAACCCATTTAATGGGTCGGTCACGGGTTGGGGGGTAACTTGATAAGTTTTGTTAGTTCAGGGTTTTTTTATTTTTATTTATTTTTTATTTTTTAATTCTACTGGGGGTTTTATGCACGATTTTGATTGTAGAGGGGGGGTTTTATGATTTTAACCCTAATTTTTATGTAAAAATGAGAACAAAATTGGGCAGAAACTTAGCAGATCCACCCAGTGAAATAATTCAAGTTAACATTTTATTTGATTTTTGAAGAGTACCTATTTGGACGGATTGGTTTTTAATATATTTATTGTGCTTATTTTTTATAAAAATATAAAAAATAATAATAATAAAAGTAATTGGGATTTTAATGATTTTCCATGTAAATTGGCCTATGAGTTCTGCAGTCAGAGAATTTTATTGCTATCCAATTTTCATGGATTTACCTCAGTCCTCATCTGGGGTTTCAAAATTTAGATAATGTTCTACAATGAGACCGTCCATGCTTTATTTTTGTGTAACTTCATTGGGTTTTCTGCTAAAAAAATCATTCATGGAATATATATATATATATATATATATTGGCATTTTGCCCTTATTTTTTAATACCCTAACTTTTCAGGTCTTCACTCATTTATGTTTGTCCTATGCAGTCCAGTTGACATGAATGATAAAATTTCATCTCAGGGTCTCACACAGGTAAAGATCTATTTCTACTTGTTAAATATACGAGATGCTTATTTTGGGTGGCAAAATTAATGTCTTCTACTTGTGAATCCAGTTTGCACAGAATTATGCAAAGAATGGTATTGTTCGGCTTCGAGAAATTTTTACACCAGGGACACTTCAGGTTCCAAAAACACAAACTGCACTCAAGGAGCTTGAATCAATTCACAAGGTTGGATATTTTGTTTTGCACTAGATGTCTGGATTTTGGCTTTCGTCAATGTTTGATGTGCAATCTGAGATTTCAATTTACATTTTTCAACTTCAAATATTTACTTCTTGTTGATAGAAGAATTTATGCTCGTCATTGTTCAGGAAAATGGTGAAAAAATTTAATGGGCATGTGATGTCTCTTTCAATTTGGATGTGATTGCTCTTTTTATGGCATTTGAAGTATGATCCATGACCTAAAATGGTGCCCACCAGGGAATTAGGAGACTTGACCATACTTTGATAAGTGATCATCTTTAGGGTTGATTGATATTAACCAAAATTACTGCTTTAAAGACCATGTGGAAGATGGCTGCCAATTTTTTTATTATTTCATAAATAGGTGGAATTTCCATTGAAAATAGACAATAGAGTACAAAGTGACTGACAGCGTACCCTCGCATTGCTAATTTGCTAGTAATTAAACACAATAAGGCCAGCTCTCTCTGAAAATGCCTACTTCTAGTACTTATCAAAAAAAAAAAAAAAAAGCCTACTTCTAGTACAGCAGCAAAGAGAATACTGAAAAAGGACTAAAATTAGTCCAGAAACTGATCTGCAGAAACAGAAGCAGCTTCGAGCACATCAATAACTTATTGGCAGCAAGATTTTGGTTTGGTAATATTTCACGACGTCTGATGTGCTTTCTGTTATTTCTGTAGAAATTTCTTTCTATTGTTTGTCCCTTTAGGAGAAGCAATGCTTGATTTTATCACCTCGGCTATTTTTCATTTTCTTTCCATCTTAATATGATGTCTGTTCTAACAAACAAGTTGGGAAAGATTCAAGCACTGTTGTTCGGACTGAGCGATGTGTACTAGAGAAGAAAAAGTACGTGTATGCTGGAGTCAATGAACCTAGGAACAAAATGTTGTCGAAGTGTCATGGACAACAAACCAAGGGTCAAGTAGCAGCTTGTCAATTCCTTATACTTTGGCTGTGTGCGTTATTGCAGTAATCATTTCTCGTAAGAGACTAGCATTCCCGTGCCTTCCCCTTGGTTTTGATGTTATTGCCAGCTAGATTTTGGTTTGGTAATATTTTACGACGTCTGATGTGCTTTCTGTTATATTGTTTGTCCCTTAAAGAGAAGCTATGCTTGATTTTATTGCCTCAGCTATTTTTCATTTTCTTTCCATCTTAATATGATTTCTGTTCTAACAGAGTTCCTAGACGAGTCCTTCAACTTGACCACTACTATATTTAGTTGGTAAACTTTCTATGTTTTGTGCTAGACTTGGGAACTGCAGAGAACGTCTTAATCAAATGGGAATTCAGTTAATAATGTTTAAGGTCATTATCGACTCCCCCCTCCCCCCAATTGCTTACCTGAGATTTTCTGCTAATCTTTTGTCCTTTTGACATTTTGACAAAAGGTTTTGGATCTCTACGTTTGGTTAAGCTTTCGGTTGGAAGATTCTTTCCCAGATCATGAGCTGGCTGCTTCACAGAAAGCCATCTGCAGCCTGTGAGTGACATGGTACCTCTTCTGGTCTGCTGGTTTCCATTTAGCTCATTGTCTTATTATTCTACTTTTTCTTAGGTTGATTGAGGAGTTCCTGGAAAGTCTAGGATGGCAGAAGCCAAGGGCAAGCAGGTTATCTCGTCGGACTAGCTTAAGTTCTCTATCTTCCACGGGTATCAGGCAATATCTATGAATCCTCAACTCCTCGTCATAAATTGCCCCGAAATGTTTCTTCATTTTTTGATGCTGTGATTGGGTAGTATACTCGAAACAGACGGCGTGGAAATTATCAACCAGCCTCTCTAACTTTTAGCTATTCCAAGAATTCCAGGTCTCTGTTTATTTGCTTTCACTCAAGTGGGTTGTAGGCTTCAGAGCCCTGTGCTTTATATACTGTGATCAGGAGCCCATACGGTTGGTTACTCTTTCTTGTATATGCTCTCTAATTATATAGTTGGGGTCATTTTTTCATTTTATTTTTGCAACATTCAGTTCTAATATGTTGTAAAAAAAATATTGGTTTTGTTTTTCGGGCAAGCAATTTATTATTGAAAGTCAGATCGTTTATGTTTAATATTGTTTGTTTATATACTTGTATTGTTGAGTTTTTGGTCTTTGTTCCACTGTGCTTGATGCGGGAATGCTTTAGAATTTTTGTCATTATTGGTGAAAAATGATATTGTAACGTAATAAATTTTTGTCATCATTATTAAATTCAAATAATTTGCTTAAAAGTCCAAACCTGTGAACAGATTTTTTGCCTTCACGCTTGTTGAACCTGTGTTTTTTTTTTAAGGATTGGGTATTAAAGTCAACCTACTTGCATTTTTGTAATGAGACAGAGTAGGAAAGAGTCCCACATCGACAAAAAAGTAAAAGAAGCCATAGTATTTATAGCCCAAGCCCAACCAAACGGGATGTGGCCCGATTTGAACAGGATCTATTCTATAGGCTCAAACGTAGGTCTGGTGAATGAACCATGACTGCACGACCAAAGCATGATTAATGGACCACTAAAGCTATGGAGAATCGTCCTCAGCTTGTTCAATCGGGCTGGGTTGGTCGTGAAGTTATACGACAGACTCCAAAGCCCAATCCTTTTGCACTTACTCCCCAGATTCATTTTGTGGATTGCTGTGCTGTACAGCCCAAATTCAAATTTTTGTCCACTCTTTTTCTTTTGACAAAACTGTAATTACGTTCTAAATTTAATCATCTCTAACAAACTGGATTTTATCATAAGTTAGTAAACTAATCATGAAAAAGTACATGTTTGAATAAGTAGGAATATTACTTAATCTTTCTTTTAAAAAAAGAGTCGTGGTAACATTGAATTTCTAATTTTAGTTCTAATCTCCTACCTGTTCGTCTTCTATTAAAAATTCAATTTCTTCTTTAATTATCTCCATTTTCTTTTTTATAAATATCTTTGCACCAACCGTTAGTCTTTAATAGGAATTTAGTTCCTTCTTTAATTATCTCCATAAAAAAAAAAAAAAAAAAAAAAAAAAAAAAAAAAAAAGTCTTAGGGGTTTGATAGGTTTAATTGAGGAGGCGATGTGGGTCTAGAGGATGATGTTAGATGGAATGGTGGGCTTGGTGAGTTTGGTTGTGTTCTAAGTCGCACAATCTTTTTTAACGGTGTTGCTCCCACTCTTCGAATACGCTTCCGCTCTCACGTTTCGCTCGCGTTCTGACTCAAATCAAATCCTCACCTTTTATGACTTAATTTTGCTACTTTCACACTCCCACTCTCGAATTCGCTCTCGTTCCGACTTTATGTGATTTAGTTTGTGTTAGCCTCTTGATGTTTAGCAAATGCAAGTTCACTGATTTACCAGAGGCCAATAGACTTCTTCTCGGCTCATCACAGCATATGCGCATTTAATATGTGAAGATCATAATATTAAATATGGTGTATGTGAATCAGTCAAAATTTTAGATTCTATTTCTTTTTTATTAGTGTAAACTAAACTCAGGCCAAGCCAAGCCAAAAATTTTGAATTGGGGTGGCCAAACTGGAACTACGTTATTAAAATTTTAAAAATTAATAAATCAATTGTAATATAATTTGCCTTACAATCTTGGTATATCAATTGAGAAAAATATAATTTAAAAAATGTGATCGAAATAAATATTGGTGAAAAATGATATGATAACGTAATAAATTTTTGTCATCATTATTAAACCCAAATAATTTACTTAAAAGTCGAAACCTGTAAACAGATTTTTTGCCTTCACGCTTATTGAACAGGTTTTTTTGTAAGGATTGGGTATTAAAGTCAAACTACTTGCATTTTTGTGATGAGACAGAGTAGTAAAGAGTCCCACATCCACAAAAAAGTAAAAGAAGCCATAGTATTTATAGCCCAAGCCCAACCCAACAGGTCGCAACCTCACTTTAACAGGATCTGTTCTATAGGCTCCAACCTAGGTCTGGTTGATGAATTAATAGCCCTCTGGTTCGATGGAACACTAAAGCAGCAGAGGATCGTTCTCAGTTGTTCAATCGGGCTGAGTTGGTCGTGGAGTTGTCTGATAGACTACAAGCCCAATCCTATGCACTTTTTCCTTAGATTCATTTTGTGCATTGCTTGGCTATACAGCCCAAATTCAAATTTTTGTCCACTCTTCTTTTTTTGACAAAACTGTAATTACATTTTAAATTTAATCATCTCTAATACACTGGATTTTATCATAGTTAGTAAACTAATCATGAAGAAGTACATATTTGAATAAGTAGGAATATTATTTAATCTTTCATTAAATAAAGAGTCGGAAAACTTAGACCTATTTGATAAATAATATTTAACAGTGGGTCATATAGACTCATTACAAAACATTGAATTTCTAATTTTATTTCTGATCTCTTACCTGTTGGTCTTCTATTAAAAATTTAATTTCTTCTTTAATTATCTCCATTTTCTTTTCTATAAATATCTCTGCACTAACTGTTAGTCTTTAAAAGAGACTCATTACAAAACATTGAATTTCTAATTTTATTTCTGATCTCTTACCTGTTGGTCTTCTATTAAAAATTTAATTTCTTCTTTAATTATCTCCATTTTCTTTTCTATAAATATCTCTGCACTAACTGTTAGTCTTTAATAGGAATTTAGTTCCTTCTTTAATTATCTCCAATTTTTTCTCCATAAATATTTCTTAAAAAAAAAAAAAAATTATGGATTTGATAGGTTTAATTGATTGTTAAATAAGGACGATACCCAAGAGATAAAGGTAATATAAATATATGGAGATGATTTTATTAAAATTCAGGACTCCATTAACCTCCATTCTCTATAATACAATTATTAAGATGATTTTATCATTAAAAATTATATAAAAAGTCTTAATAACCACTTTGGACTCCATTAACATTCATTCTCTGTAATACAATTTAATTTTATTTAAATTTTATAAGTAGGCATCATCACTAACAATCAATCAAATCTTTCTCTGCAATTACATGAAGGTATCTGGTTGTGTGAGGAAAATGGATGAGGTAACTAGAGAAAAATTTAAGAGAGAGAATGAGAGAGAAAAAATAATAATAATAAAAGAGAAATATTAGACTTTTGGAGCAAAGATAAGTAAGGATAGTTCAAATACAGAAGAGAGAAACTTAATAGTTATTACTTTAAATATTATGACATGACAAATCCACCTAAACAGCCACGTTAGACAAAAAAAAGTAATTCACGTCGACGCAAACGGAGCATTTGAATAAATTAAAGTGTATAATTTTGTTATATTGTCTTTTGATCTATTTTTTCTTAAAAAAACAATAATACTGTTTTAATATGAGTAATATAATGGTGTAACTTCATGATAGCCTTTGTAGTTTTCACCAAATAAGAGTCTTTCTTGCGAAGTCTTTTAACCAAATTACGTGCGTCTTATATGAGAAGTGTAGTCTGAATAAGGACGTGTGATTTAATTTTTAATTAAATAAAACGTTTAAAATTTTGGGGATACAAAAAGAAAATTGGTATAATACAACTTCACTTATGTTACCGCGGATCCAGTGTAGGGCTGGGCTGGGCTCCAGCCCACCCCAAAATAAAAATAAAAAAAATATATTACTATGGGTATTTTTAGCCCAGCCCGAAAAAAAAAATTTATTATTAATACTAGCCCACCCAAATAAGCCCAACTCAACTAAGCGACAATACTAAAATAAAGGCCCAAACCTAACAAGCCCTATTAATGATAAGTATTAGGATATGAAGTAAAACATGTTTTGAGATAAAATTGTTGTAGAGGCCGTTCTATGAAAAATAAACAGAGTTCCTGTGTTTATCTAGAAAGTATTCAACAAACAAACAAAAAAATCTATGGCATTGTAAACTACGAAAATTTGATGATTTTGATCTCTAGTAGGTAAGGAGTATTAGTATAAAATAAAGCATCTAAATCCAATAATTCACAAATCAAAAGTTACTAACTTACTACAGATTTAAATAAAACAAATATAGATGGGTAAGTGTTAGAATTTCAAATTGATTTATAAAATAAAACCACAAACAAAAATTACAATAATTCAATCTTTAAAATAAAAAAAATCAAATATGAAACGTGTTAAAACATAGTACGATGGGAGATTAATTTCTTGTTGATTGCATGATCGTACGGGATCTTATTTGAAAATTTTACTTGGAGTCTATTATCGATGAATTCGAGTCTTTAAGGACTCGTCGAGTACAATTTAGATAGATATTTTGTAATATTTGAATTCAAATATTTATTTAGATTGTGTTATAAAAAATTTTGCTTAAGAAATTGTGTTTTTAAATTTTTGTTTAATTTTAGCCCACCCCATTGACAATTCCTGAATCCGCCCTAGGTATATACTATTAATACCGTTATATGGTTATAATAGTTGGTGTGAAAAATTCGGATATACATATTTTATTTATTTTTATATGCGACTACTTCATATCAATAATAAACAGAAAATTTTAAAAAGGGCTAAATAATTAAACTGTCATCCATCCATGTACAATATAAAAACAATTGAACATAATTCTTAGGCCATCTACACCAGCCTCTCCGAATTTTGACTCTCTAAAAACGCCACATCAGCTTTTTCAAGAGCCACATTAGCAATTCCAAAAGCCACATCAGCAATTTTCGCTCTTCAGAAACATGCATTTCATCAGGCTCTCCGAATTTTCACTCTCCAAAAAAATAATAATAAAAATTTAAATTTAAATTTAATTTTTTTTTTTTTTTTAACTTTTCCTAAATGGCTATATTTGTAACGGTTATATTTTTAACGGCTATATTTTTCATCCTAATGTGCCCTAACCTACTTTGCTCATCTGAAAATCATCACTATATTCATCTCTCTCCATTGTAGCAAAATATCATCATCCATCTTTTTCAATTTCGAAATTCGAATGGATTGGAATAAGAAAATAAGTATTACAAAATTCTATGGGAATAAGTAGATAAATTTGTAATTTTAATAATTATTATTTTTTTAACAAAAAGTGTTAAAAAAAAACTTTTTTTATTTATTTTTGGCCCAAATAAATAAGGATTACAAAGTAAGGATTAAAAATAATGAATTGG